GGGAGTGGTGGTGGTGTTTGTTTGAAATCACTCTACATGCCATAAACATTTCCTGTATAAAATGAAGCTGTGTAATCTCATCCTGAGTGCTCTGTACCACATTAAAAAAAGTGTACTCACCGGTATGAGGTTTCTGGAAGCAAATCATCGATAACGTAACTTGTAACATTCCCTACTGGAATGCTGACGTCACCCAGGTCAATGTTGTATGACGTAATCTCAGCTCCGTTATTGCATGGTTCTTCCCAGTTCAGTACAAGGCACACAGAGGGTGAGAGCTGATGGGCATCCATGTGCTCATCCTCCAGCACGGAGAGGGTAGAGACTGCATCGGGCACAGATGCGGGGATTCTGCAGGTCACCAGGTCACTGTAGGGTCCGGCTCCTGCCTGGTTAACAGCCTGTGTGTTAAAAACAAAAAGATTTTTACAGGATAAATGTTCTTTTTCACATGTCTGTCAAGTTCACAATAGTGAGCTGTGCAGCCTGGAAGAAGTCGCATGGGTTCTTCAGAGGATATACATCGCCAGCTTATTCTCTAAAGCACGAGTCATACCCTCTACCTATTCTAGAGCAATTAATATTTTCCTTTGTTACTCAGGTGTATCTCTCAGATAAATAGGAGAGTATTTCTCTTCTCCTTAATTAATTAATTAATCTCTCTTCTCTTTAATTAAACTTCACAGTAATCTTTTTATCAGCAGCAAACTTTGTTTAGTAAGGGCAAATGTCACAGTCATGCTGTCAGCGGCAGGTGACATCATATTGTTTAGCAAGTTGGCTGCCCAAAGTTGTTGAGCCACCCTGTATAAAAACCTTCAGCACACTGCAGGGTGCAGCATCAGATGCCTCATGCAAGCAGAGTACCCTTAGACATGCGGGGCACTTGGCTTGCTGAGAGCTCCACTGGTTCCTAACTCAGAGAATTTCACACTAAAAAGTTTCTTATGTAAGAATACAGGAACTCAGCATGGTGTTACATGTATGACTCACATCTCCCCAGAAGTCACAAATCACTAGCAAAACACCACCAAAGAACATAGCTCAGTATTTTCCACGAGACAGCAGAACAACCCGAGAACCCAAGCTTCTCATCTTGACTCACAGATCCAGGATCCCAGTGGAAAGCAAATTTCAAAATCTGGCCCACTTCTGCTCATTAATTACGGAGGCTGTTGTCTTCGCAAGCTCAACACTGCACAATTGCACAGACCTGTTTTTCTATCAGTTGATGCTCAGTCAGTGGCAAATGCTGCATATGTTGCACTGGAATGGCCTAGGAAATGACTAACGCTACCTCCTCAGGATCATTATAAGCTCCTGTGCACACAATCACAGAACCATGCAGGCTGAAAGGGACCTTAGGACACATCTAGTCCAACCTGCTACTCCAAGTAGGGTCAAAGCTGAATACAGGCCAGGTTGCTCAGGCTCTTGTCCGGGCAGGTCTTGAAAAATTCCACGGATGGAGACTACACAGCCCCTCTGGACCACCGTTACAATCCTTAATCACTTGCACAGTGAGAACTTTTTTCTTACCTCTCACCTGAAGGTCTCTATTTCAACCTCTGCCTGGAGCAAAACTGGACACAGCATTCCAGGTTCTCATGAATGGCATGTGACGGGCACCACCACCTTGCCTTGACCTGCTAGCTGGGTCCCTCCTGACACGGCCCAGCATGCTGCTAGCCCACAAGGTACGTGGAGAGCTTATGACAGCATATTATGGTACAGGCTGAGCTACAGGAGGTCCAGAAGGTCCACACCTTCAAAAGCAGCTTTTGGTATTGCCCAGCATCGTCCACCATCCACATTTCCTTTGCATTTGGAAAAGCGAGCCCAGAGTCTACCACCAGCTTACAAGTAATTAGGAAACTCGGGTTTACGGTGTTGCCAGCAGGGCTACGATGGCAAGGAAAGGACATGGTCCAACAATTGTTTGATTTCTTATCTGTGGTTAACTGTAGTGAATAACTTATTTCTGCTATGCATAAAACAAACACAAAGGTCCATGTTCTGTTTTTCCAGGATGCGTTTTGTTCAATTGAAGAAAGAGATAATAAAGTTAGATTTGTCAGCCTTCAAAACAAATCCTGCTCCAGGGACATCTTCTATTTAGTGAAGCGCTCCTAGAGTTGTTAGAAGCGAGCCTTTTTTCATGGTTTTCCAGAGATTTTGTCTTGCCTCTAAACTGGTGTTTGGCAATCTGTATCCTGCTCCAAGCAATTTATTTTTAGTGGTGCTTTTAACCGCTTTATTGGACAATCTCATCATCATAACTGATGGGAATTTCATTCTTCTTTGCTTCCTAGATACTCCCCCTCCTCAAATGACACAACATTTCCCTTCGCAGAAGCCACAATTGTTTTCAGGAATATTCATTACAGGAGGAAAGTTGAGCAACAGTAAAGACAAATTGTCTGCCCTGCAGTTATATATGCCTGATTCCTTAATTCCCCCTTTTTATTGAGTTACTGTAGATTGAGATAGCAATACTGTGTGTTTATTAGAAGGCAGAGTTAATGTGGCTTGGAGAATCTTTATTTTTAAAAAGTAAAAGAAAGATTTTTCTGTTAAAGCTGCTAACAGATAAGAAAAACAGCTATTATTCTCCCCTTTTTATTAAAAAAAAAAAGACTAAAATTTCTGAAACTATTTAACCTTCCTTCTTTGTCTGCTATACATACTTAGTGTTTTTATTGGTTTTTGCTTGTTTGTTTGTTTGTTTTTTGTGTAATTGTTTAAATGTTCCAGTGTATCTTATAGCAAAGTCTTCTCCGTATAATGCACAGATCAGATGTAGAGGACGAAGCCCTCTAGAAAGTAATGCACGGGTCACTGATGGACCTCAGTAAAATGCCTTGGTACTGTTGTGCATTTCACTTAACTTCTGCCTATGGATTAAATCATATTGGCTGTGTTAAAAACCGGGTAGACTCACACAACATTTTCGTGCCACGCAATTCAAAACGAACCATTTGAAGTCAAAGATGCTACACAGCTGGCCGTTTCCATTTTTAACATTAACACGTCCTTGAGCTCCCCACCGCTCACTGCGGCAGCGGTCTCAGGGTCTCCTCCCCGCACTCGGTGGATGCTGAATGCTCTCCCTCCCGCGCAAAGAAGAGGCACTTTATGGCTCGCGCTCCAAAGCCACTCACACGCGCTCCTTCCGTTCGCCTTCCCCACCAGAGCCCGCGCCAGGTACGCGGCCGGCTACGACCCAGTCAGAAAATACAGCTGAGTGTACTCAGAGGTGTGGGGCCCTAGCTCCTTGGCTGTTGGCCAGCTGCTCGAAAGCTCCTTTGTACAAATAAATTAAAATAAAAAAAGATTCAAAGTCCTGTTTAAAAAAAATTTTAGAAGGAAACACTCAACAGAAGCATGTTGTCCTCGATCAAGGAACGACCCTGGGTGGTCCACACGTTGCCAGCTGGGTGGATATATGAACTTTTGGTCGGATTTACTGGTGGTATTCTGTCTTCACGTACAAATAAATCTTGTGGAAGAGTAACTTGGGCAAAAACATTTTTGCTTCATCCCCATTTACTTCACTTTCCTTTTATTTTTCAGTGCACATAAAGGAGAAAAAGTGCCGTATTTCTATTTTCACACACATATATAAGAAATATATTTTAACTGTTACTTTTTACTGAAAGTAATAGGAGAGAAAGAGATCAAAGAAAAATAAATCATAGAGACCCGATATGAGATCCAATCTTAAAAATCTAAGACAAAATGGTAGAGATGACGACTTGCTTTGTGGCAGCTACCATCTCCTATATACACAGGGATCTACTCAGCTAGTTTGCTTTATTTGATAAATGAAACAGATGTTGGAGTTATTATTTAAGCTAAGGGGATCTTCAACATCCAGTTGGGAGGTAGATGTTGTTTACAACTCATTACCAAGAATTTTTTTTTTTTTAAATTGTCTAGAACATTATCGTTTTAATATCAGAGGGCAAGGTGGCTGTTAAAAGCATTTTTCACTGAAAATAAACCACGATACACAACAGCAATTTTTGAGAGCTAAAAGTTATACCAACTCCTTTGTTTACCACTTCGAATTGTGCAGAACCTAAACTGTTCAGTTATATAGCAACAGTCTGCATTATTTAGAATAAATGTACATTCCTTCTGACTTACACAGCACATAACTTCATAGTGGCTAATGACAAAAATAATAACACAGTAGAAGGAAACTCTGTTTCTACTCTTAAAATTGCAATGCATGCAAAAACTCGTAACTTCCATACCTGTAGCCTACAGCAGTAATGTGCTGCCGCTGACAATTCACTTATTTCAAAACAGGTATCTGTGCCATTATATGCAAGTTGTAGAGATTCCTCATCTTCTCCCCACTCTAATCTGTATTCAGAGATGTCAGCACCAGAACATTCAGGACTCTGCAACACAAATATTTATGTGTTTCAATCCAGACATGAGCACTTCAGATCTCTGTGTTTCACTGGGTAAGGAATAAAGTAAATGGAAAAAAACCCCCACCAACCCTTATTTTTACATTAATACAGCATTACTGCTGCCCGTGGAAATGCGCTGAATTAGTGTCCCCTAATAGGTTACTGAAACAGGTCAATTCTGCACAATAATTACCTGATAGAAATTCAGATAAACAAGAGAATGGGCACAGCTACTTTGCTTTTCATCAGGACACTCAGGAATAAATTGTCTCTCCACTGGCTTGGCAGAAGCACAACCATGGAGAACTCAAAAAAGCATCAGTCTAGCCTAGTCTAGTCGAGCGACCAAAAGCACAGCTCTGGAAGAGCTAGCCTTTGAGCCTGAAGTAGTTACTCCTGTTACTGACCAAAGAATAACCTCAACAAGCCAGGAGCTCGTCTGAGGTTTTCCATGAAAGTCACCCATCAAGCTAATGTTGTACGGGACGCGGGAGTGTGGAGGACCTGGGTATGTTAATGTCCACAAAAAGACTCCTATGGATCCGTATGTTCTCAGCAATCCCTTCATCATCCTGAAGTCCAGGGGAACACAGAATAAATACCTGAATTTGCTGGAGATGAGCTAGTGCAGGCGTAACAGCACGGTCCCCAAACCAAAATATTTTATGTTTTTACCAAGACTACCTAGAGCTGTATTGTGTGGACTGCAGCGGTCAGGGCATCGCTGCTCTACGTGCAAAGGACGGTCTAGGATATGGCAAAGGCTGTGGTTACGGCATGCAAGGTCTAATTTCCAGTAGAAGGATCCAGAGCATCGCTGCACGCCACAACGACCACCCTGCACATGCACACGGGCTTCCCTAGCTCTGCCTCTGAGCTTCCAGCTATTTTAGTGGGAGCACTCAGAACTGCTAAGCCCGTGTTTTAAAACAAGGTGTAAAACAGGGCACAGCAGGCACCATGGTGTGCCCTCTATAGCCACTCCACACTCCTCCGCTGTTTTTCCTTCGTATTCACATCAGCCAAAAAAATGAAGGCTTCTTTAAGAAAATGTAACCATTGCAAACCACATTACTCCCTCCACAGCTTAATTTTTAGCTAGAATAAACAAATATATCCTGCATATAAATACAGAGCCTACCAGAAACACTGCTTCCTTCGCTCATGGTTGGGGAGAGCAAATGCCTGTCCATACACCGATTAAAAAGGTAACGTTTAGAAGTTCAGCGCGACTTCTAGCTTAGTGACGCGAAACGTTGCCAGAAATATTAACAAATGCCCCCAAATTGCACCAAACGCACCTGCTTCATTATAAAATTAAACCCAGATTGTGTTTGTATCTGGATATGTTGTTAGCACAGTGAATTTATTTGAGCATCATGTGAACATTAATAACTTCTTCCTCAACAGGGGCATCCTTTTGTGGAGGGACCCGACAGATGCAGGGCTGGAACGGCTGCCAGGTTTTCAACAAAAGTCTGTGGCAGAATTACAGCCCCATCGCTCCATATCACAACTTTACTTACAACAACATCCTTTCCTTTCTGCCTTAATGACATAAATATTTTTTTTTTAATAACACCAATCAACCCATCAGCATTTCAGCTAGGACTTATTTTAAGAGTCTAGTGTCTAAGATCCTGCAGAATGGAGAAGGAATGCACACAAACTAAAATAAAAGTAAATATTTAGGGAAGAGACAAACAATTTTTGAGGGAATAAAACTACATCATAAGCATTTGTGCAGAGTTAATTTCATATCAGAGACTCCAGCTTCAGCCAAAATCAAATATTTGCCTCCACAGTTCCACCCCGGGACCCTCTGACATGCTAAAAGCCCGCAGAGAGCACTTCTACCCAACCAGCGCTCTATCATCTGACGCCAGCACAGGCGGCCTCGCGTCTCCTAATCCTGGTCTGGATGACTCACGATCAACTTTATGCAATTCTTTAAAGAGAAAAGTAGAGAAGATGATTTTCTACAATAGAAGAGTTTCCACATATGGTTTTCTTGCACAAAAAATTAGTTCCGAACCAGCGAATGGCTCTCCAGCTAGCTTTCAAGTTTTGCGGTGACCACATTCGTTTGGATAAGCAAGATAGAAATTAAATAACCAGGGCACCTGACTCACCTCCCAGCTTACAAGTACATGAGTGTCGGACAGAAAGGAGAGGGAAGGTGCTCTGCACTGGCTGGGCGGTCCTGCTGCCGTGGTGACTTCTGTAGCTTCTGAATACGGCCCGTACTAGAGGGGAACATGGTGTCTGTACGTTAATATATATAATATATAATATGAGCATACACCCTTCTCACATTCCTCAAGGCCTTCCAAGAACAGCACACAAACTTTTGCAATGCAGTAAACTTTCTCAAAGACAGACCGGGCTTCCAACGCTCGGCACCAAATACCGGCGTTCGGTATGAGACTACTTATCGCAAAGGTAAAATTTTGTGAGGTAAGCCTAGGTACGGGCAGGCAGCACGTACATCCTCCGGCGCGGCCGTGGGCGCCCGTGAAAGCGTAAGCCACCTCCAGTTTACCCAAGGGTGCGAACGTGCCCTCCGCAACGGAGCAACTGCGGAACACACTGCGTCCCTCCGCCTCACCTTAGAGTAACGCGCTCGCAAGGCTGTGCCGTAGCCCGGCGTAACCGGCTGCTCGCGGATATAAGGAGGAGCACGGCAACGGTAAAGCACACGCTGGAGTCCAAATCCAGCTTCTTTTATAAAATGCCCGCCACACGTTACTTGTAGAAGGACAGCAAGCGCCGGAGCCCCAGCCTGGGTTCAATGTGCAGGGGCGAGCCGAGCGTGGCTTCGCTCCACGGGCAGCTAAGCCAACTGCTCAGACAATTTTTGAGCCCTTGGCAGAAGAATAATTTAAACGCATATTAGCAAAAGAAAAGGCAATTTCCAAGAGTATGGAAAAACTGGCTTCAGCCAGCAGCGTGGGGACAGGAGAGAGGTAATGGTGGACATAGCCTTTCTGAGGCCTCTTGAGCGGGATAATGAAGTTTGTTCAGTACATCCCCAAGCTAATTAGAAATCATTCTCCAGAACAAAGGAGCATCACTGGAAGCAATTAGAGGAAAAGCACTTATTTTGGAATGCAATACTAGCAAGCATGAAAAAAACGTGCCAGGACAAAGGCTGAACACAGTGAAATTATGAACCAGCAACCTCTCAACAGACACGTGTCAGTATGTGCGCTACTGAGAACGGCTAACGCTGATCGCTTAGTTTGAATTACAAAGAATGCACACTGCAAAAAAATCTCATTTATTGACTTCTGCTGTTTTCTTTACCTAATGGTAGGAAGAAAGGTGTTTGCATCTGGTGAAGAACACCCCTCTCACTTTGCATTTGGTTAAAAAAAAAAAAAAAATCAAATGAAAACCAG